TAGCTTTTCAACATTTGCCACGAGGTTAACCTTTAACACACTTTACTGTGTTCTGATTGGCGCGCACTCTGACGTCTGATGCTGGCTAAGTTATATTTTCCATTGGGTTTTCCATGTGACATTCGGTAATTTTACAACCAACGGACATTTATTCTCCTTTATATTTATTATTTATCTTACTAAATCAAGACTACAAAATATTATTAATGAACAATCTTTTCACATGTGTGTATAATCATTGAAGACATACATTTTTCAACATTTGAAAGAGGTAAAATAATTGTAAATAAAAAATAAGCTAGGCCTAGGCAAATTAATTAAAAAAATACAGCAGTACAAACAAGTTCCTGTCGTGGACAGCGAGTGGAAGAGGAGACTCCCATGAAGTCAAGTGTACGTTCTTCTTATTGAAAAACAGCTCCATGCTTTAAATTAACGATCTAAACTCGTGTTTGTCAATTCACAAATTATCAAGCAATACATTGTTCATTCCAGTAAAAGCTACAGCAGTCTTTCTGCACATACAATAAACATACAAATAAACAACATGCTTTTGCTTCGAATCGTAGGTTCGCTTCGCGTAGCCTTGCTTAGATTGTTTATATCAGGCTACGATGTATCTACGAAGCCTGCGCGCAGGTTAGATTGTTTATATCAGGCTACGATGTATCTACGAAGCCTGCACGCAGGTAAAATTGCAATATTTCATGGCGGTACTGTACAGTACTTACTGTAGAAGTTAGGGGTTTCAATGAATAAATGCTTTAGCCCGTGATGATAATTGATGATGATTATTGTCATTGTGTGTGAATGATGTTCCCTAAAAGTAATTAAAAAAAAATTCTTGTAGTATTGTACAGTTATTTATTTTTTCCTTATTATTCTTTATTGTAATATTTATCCACTGAATTTTACTCTGCAGTCGTATTATGGCTGTTCATTTATGTAATGACTTATTTAAAAGCCAGTTGCAATATTTACTGCATGTTGTAGATGAAAATCTGTTCTTTTTTTATAAATTAAAAAAAATATATATTTTGATACAAGTACGAAATCAAAGATCTACTGTTTAGGCCTACACATTATTTTAGTTGTTAAATTGTGATTTCAGTTGAAAAATTCTTTTCTCTCCTATTCGTTTGCACAGCATTTTCGTAATGATTAGTGTGGGTGCACTTCAACCCTAGCCTCAAGTAAAGATTGGCAAGATTAAATATAGTTATTAAAATATACACCAAATAATATTAAACAAAAAAAAGGTCTCGTATTTACCACCTTATGACCTTTAATTCAACCTATATGGTTTCTACTACTTGGCCTCTTTATTCATAGTACAGCATCATAATTTTTGTTTTAATTATGAATAAAATGTCAGATGATAATAATATAGCAAAAATTTTAAAAGTAAGAAAACTAAAGAAAGTATTATCATTTAAATGTTGTTTATAAAGAGTTCTTTGTATTGAGTATAAATAAACATTAATTAAAGGAGAGCAGCTGTTGGTCTTTGAGTATAAAGAAAAACAACTTGTTTTTGTTCTTATAAAATAAAAGCTACTTGCTTCTATAGTGAATTGCATTGTTATTTAAAACACTAAACACTAAATACATTATGTAACAACACTAAACGCATTACTGTATGTAAGTCAATCTACTTTTGGCACTGATATTCAATTAGTGTTCTTTTTAAAATTATGAAAATTTAATTTTATTATTTAATTTAGATTTTATCATTATGAGCATATCCTGTATATATTAGTGTTGTGCCTTGCTGCTTCTGCCATTGACCTGTTAAATTTATGTTAATTTTTGTG